AAGGCGGTACATGGGTGGCCATACCTTCTGGCGGGAAGACCCGCAAGTCCAATAGATTTAATCTTTTCGGAAACTGTATCCAAGATCTCCGGAGTCATCGTATTATATTATACAAGGATTTGTCGCTCCATTTAATATTCGTTCTGTAATATAATGCAAATAAGGCAAACGCGCATGCTTCTTAAATTACATGTACGCGATACATATAGTAGGTCTTTTACGCTATCCGGTTTACTGTAAACTTTTTTACAATATATCATAATACAGCCTACATCAACATGTAGTATCTCAGATTTGTTCATTTTGTAATGATATCTTTAATTCTCTAATTTTGGTGAATATTTTTGTCATTTTTGGTAAAAAGTGATATTTTCAACTTCTTGTTAAAAACCGCAAGTCCAATTGCTTTTATATTACATATACAGGTACTACATGTGGACCTCTCTCAGATTTGTTCATTTTGTAATGATATCTTCAATTCTCTAATTTGGGTGAATATTTTTGTCATTTTTGGTAAAAAGTGATATTTTCGACTTCTTGTTAAAAACCGCAAGTCCAATTGCTTTGATATTATTACATGTATAGGTACTACATGTGGACCTTTCTCAGATTTGTTCATTTTGTAATGATATCTTTAATTCTCTAATTTTGGTGAATATTTTTGTCATTTTTGGTGAAAAGAGATATTTTCAACTTCTTGTTAAAAACCACAAGTCCGATTGCTTTGATATACATATATAGGCACTACATGTGGACCTCTCTCAGATTTATTTATTTTGTAATGATATCTTCAATTCTCTAATTTGGGTGAATATTTTTGTCATTTTTGGTAAAAGTGATATTTGCGACTTCTTGTTAAAAACCGCAAGTCCAATTGCTTTGATATTATTACATGTATAGGTACTACATGTGGACCTCTCTCAGATTTGTTCATTTTGTAATGATATCTTTAATTCTCTAATTTTGGTGAATATTTTGTCATTTTTGGTAAAAAGTGATATTTTCTTCTTGTTAAAAAACACAATCATTTATGGTGAAAAATGATATTTTTGAATTCTTGTTGAAAACAGCAAGTCCCATTGCATTGATACTATGCATATTGTTCATTTTCTAATGATATCTTCTGTTCTTTAATTGAAATGTGCATTGCTAACAGCGGAGCTATCTCAGCCGAGAGGCTGCTTGTTAAAAATTTCTACTGATTTTTATTTTTGTGTGGGCTTTGGTGTTGATGATTCTATGAATCTCATAATTTCGACGTCGTTACCCACAATCCTATGCGGTTTTGGCATGGGATGTCTGTTTATAGTATACTTGAGCATTCCTTACCAACCTGAGTACACAGTTGCAATGTATTCTCTTTATTTTGAAAACATACCTTTTTCTTAGTCAAATCTTGTCTTCTAATTTCTAAAAAGATTGCAGTAGTGTAGTACTTATTATTATAATTGTTGTGCAATATATCCATTCGGACGCGCTCTGCACCTTATTTTTACATTTGAGTGGATGAAACAATAAATTTGACATTTTAGCCAATTAACGAGAGTTGACAATTATTTTACTTCGTGAATATGCACTTTTCATGGATTTGATCACATCATTATAAAACCTATACACTGCCCATTACTGCATTTAGAAAGACACTTTTCGTCGCACAACGCGCCTGCAAAGTTTGTCTAAAGTTTGTAGTTTACAGGCGTTGTCACACGTCGCATGGAACCCATGTAATGTAATTTTCCGATCATATCTTTTAAAAAACGCACTTATAGATTACTTAGAAGTGCAATGAATTTAACAAATGATTATGCAACTTAAAGGTTTCAGTCGTAGAGAGTCAAAATTGACAAAATATTCAAAAAA